AAATCTATAAAAATATATAAATCTAATATGAAATTTTATATAAAATTAATTACAAAATTTATAATTAATAAAGTTTAACCTGTACTCTAATTTAGATAGGCCCTTAATCATAATTTTTTAGTTATGAAAACGTCATGGTTTTCCTTGATCTCTTGTTTTATATGAATTGATCATACTCATTCTACAATATGCAATTCAATAAAATTTACTAAAACAAAATTTCTACAAAAGCTAAAGCTGCTGAGCTAAGCCAATTAGCTCTTAATTATTAATTTTCTCCGTTTGATAACCATGGGCGCGTACTTCTCTTTCCTTGTTTATTAAGGAGAACCCTGGTTTACTATAAATAAGGTCAGTCCAATCCAATCTCTTCGTCTTCCCATTACATTCCTTGCTTATCTTAATTCCAAAGAAGCAGCCCCATCTTCTGTCTTTTCTTTTCCATACTTATCCTAATCCCTTCACCTCCTTCGCTAATTCATTGGAGGATGATGGATATTTATGAACAGGCAGGCTTCAGCTCTGGAAACCAGAGTGAAGAAGAAATCATGGATGTAAGGAAAGGTTCATGGACTGCGGAAGAGGACAACAAGCTCATGGAATATGTCACCGTCCACGGTGAAGGTCGCTGGAACTTGGTCGCTCGCTGTGCAGGTGATGAATCTCATGATCATTATCTCTCTGTTTCAGTTCTCTGTTTTACGGTCCCCTGACTTCAAGATTACATGCAGGACTCAAAAGAACAGGGAAAAGCTGCAGATTAAGATGGTTAAACTATCTACGTCCTGATGTCCGACGAGGAAATATCACTCTCGAAGAACAGCTTCTGATTCTTGAACTCCATTCCCACTGGGGAAACAGGTATGGTTTCTCGTGTCACATCTAACCTATAACTAATTGGCAATACGTGCAGAATCGGAAGGATTTTGGCTGATTATCTGTTTAATTCATTTTAGGTGGTCGAAAATTGCACAATATTTGCCTGGGAGAACAGACAATGAGATAAAGAACTACTGGAGAACAAGAGTTCAGAAGCAGGCGAAGCAGCTGAAATGCGACGTTAACAGCAAGCAGTTCAGGGACACCATGCGGTACGTTTGGATGCCCCGTTTAAAGGAGCGGATCCAGGCTTCTACATCCAAGACTTTCCCGGGTCAACCCGCCACTAACACGGAAGCATCCACCCAATCCGTTCAGGTCAATGAGTCCGGTTCGGGTCGGATAGAACCCAATTTCATGCCGGAATTCTCGGGTTCTTCATCGGAGTCATTGGATACCCGAGTTTCATCCTTATCGGACCTGACGGTGGAGTACTGGGGCAACCCACAACAAGGCGTTAATTATGCAGACAATCTACAAAATGGGTCGGGTTTCTTCTCTGCCGGAAATTGGTGTGTTGACGGGGTTGATTTTCCGGCGGTGGCAGAGGAGGTGATGGGTGGTGATTGGATGATGGAATGGAATGAGGAGAATATTTGGTCACAGCTTTGTGAAATGTGACCTAATGGATATGAGGGCCTGCTTACCTGACGTACCAACTTAGCTTAGCTTTTAGACATTTTGTGATTATAGAAATGTTTTTTCTTTTACAGGAATGTACCCTTAGTTTTACTAAAAAAAAATTATTAGTCATTAATTTTAAAATTCAACAGCTGAGATTAAGGTATTGCATTTAGAATTATATCTCAACCGTTGAATTTTAAAATTAATAATTAATAATTGGATTACTATTTAAAAATCAAACATGTTGCAAGCTGAACTTATTGAAATCTCTAATTTTATGATCTCCAGGCCTTCAAATTTTGAGAAATTATGAATTTTTTGAACCCCTGCAGTTATTAAAAAAATTGTGAACTACTCTTATAAAGGTTTTTTTAGCCTTTGCTTAAGATAAAATTATCATACTTTTTTATATAATTAATTTAAAAAATATAAAAATTATTATTAATTTTATTATGAGTGTCACATAAATCATTCAAATAATTATTTATATAAATGTTAAATTTTATTTTTTAATATTAGTTAACATATAAAAAAAGTGCAATAATTGTCTAAATAGAAAAACCCCTCTTGTAATTTTGCTCCACACATTTTAAAATTTAGTGATCTAACCCCCAAAAGCCGTTCTTCTTTTCCCAAGTTCTAGAGGAAGAGCAATAAGGAATTGAAGATGACCTAATTATTACTATTTTTTTGGAGGAAATTAATAAAGGGATAATTTTTTATTTAATTTTGACCATAAATGAAATAATAGATGGACTTCCTAACTTGAAAGTAAGCCATAGTACCAGCTGACCATGCGGGGCAATTGATCGAAATTTGAGAACTCCATCGAGTGTATGTTTGATATGTTTCTTGTTTTACATATTTTTGATCGAAATTCCAAATTGAATCGTTTCTGGTGACATAATAAATGAGAGATGGAGGGGGAGATTGCTAAAATGGAGGCATTAATTGACAATTTGAAAAGACTTCAATGCTTTTAGTGGTGGTAACCAAGTCCTGCGGGGGTTGAGGAATGCCCCCCTATCCTATTTTCCTGCAAATTGTTGCCGGGATAGGAATTCTTGTGAGAATTTTTTTATGGGAGTTGCACCCTGCCCCACATCCCCGTTATTGGCGGGTATTTCTCGCTCCTATCAATCTATATGACAATATTGCTTTAATTATTTTTATTTGGTTAAAACTTTAATTTAGTCATTCTATTTTGAAAAAAAGTTTTTTTTAGTCCTTAAATCCTTTTTTAGTCCCTAAACCCTCTTTTGTCCTTAAAGTTTGAAATCTAATTCTTTTTTAATCCTTCTGTTAAGTTCAATGTTAGATGAAGAAAATTTTAAAACATAGAGACTAAAAATGACCTTTTTTTTTTTTTTTTTGCAAAATAGAGGGATCAAATTTGAGTTATTTTTTTAGCTTTTTTTGGTTCCTCTATTTTGAAATTTTCGTCATCCAACGTGTTACATATGCAAAATTTAACAGAGAGACTAAAAAAGGATCGAATTTCAAATTTTAGAGAACAAAAAGGGTTTTTTTAAGTAGAAGAACTAAAAATAAACTTTTTACCAAACTAGAGGGACTAAAATGGGTATTTAACCTTTTTATTTTATTATTTTAAAATAAAATATTTTAAAGAATTAAATTAAGGCAAAAAAATATGTTAAGTTGGATTTGTTTTAAAGTAATTAAACTTTAATATTAGGCTAACATTAAGAATTAAGTAATAGGTATGGCCTATGAACATGGTTTCAAAATCTGACTAATTGAGTCAAACTTGATTACAAAAATAGACCCAGTTAATTTCGTTCTTTTTTTAATTTGGTAAATATTTTATTCTTTTTTTTGAATTACATATATTTAATTAAATTCAACTTTTTAAATTACTCTTAAGGTGATTTACAAGTTGATTTTTAAAGTAATTATATCTTGAAAATAGAATAACATTAGTATATAATAATAAAATATATAAAAAAAATTGAAAAATCAATTGAACCGACTAATTTAACAACTGAATTGAACCTGATTCTAGAAATGAATCAATTATTAGGTTGGGTTTTAAAACATCACCCACAAGTATGAGTTATGCTTAAATTGAGTTGAATTCAATTTTTTATTTTTAAATTTTATATAGAGATGGAAAATTTCTGTTACAAAATTTTACAGGAAGAAAATTGCCCCTCAAGAATATTCCCATGAGGCCCCAGAGTCCAAAGGAAAATGTCACCCAATAGTGCTGTGCCTTCTTCAAGATTGGAGCAGTATTCTTGGTTATAAGATTCAACGGTTGCTATATATGGTTACCTGGACTGAAGCACTATCTGCCGCAACCCTTGAAACATTCCCTCCCACGTTAAATGACTAAGCGAGCACTGCCTTCTTTTGAAACCCATTTTCTATTTTTTGGGGCTGTCTTTGGAATTTCATTCTTCTTCTTAAAACCAAACGTTAATCAACTATGTACAGCAGGTTGACTCAGAGTAAATGATTCATGAATCACCTAAAATCTCTGAAGGCTGAAATTAGAAGGCATGGAAGCAGAGAGAGCACTGGTAGCATTCCAGATACCTTTTCTTTTCTTTTTTCTTCTTTTTTTTTTCCTGGTGTAGAAAAATTTTGAATTCTTAATCTTAATTCCAAATTAAGATTTAATTGTATGTTAATAAATATTAATTTAGCCTAACTCTTGTCGGTGGCATTGCAAATTTTTGTAAAACAACGTGCTTGCATATCTTATTAAGTTAAATAAATGTGAACAGCAAACAAGTGGGAGGGAAAAGGGAAGAGGGTGGGAAGAAAAATGTCTTTCATTTTAGACTTTTTCAGAAACCCAATTAAAAATGTGAGAATGAGTGTGTAAATGGGAAAAATATATTAATAGTTCATTATATATATAAAGCTATGTAGCTACTAGAGGTGCCTAATTAAAGTTTGGGTTTGACACGGCGAAGGCTTTGGCTAAAAATTAAAAAAATGGCTTAAAATCATGTAGCAGCCAACAGTATAAAATGTTCGAATCCCAATTAAAAACACATGCTTGTGGATAGCTAGACTGACAAAATTACACGTCTTTTTTATGATTAACACATAACAACTTGATGAACATTACTATGGGACGATGAGTTTTTTTTTTTTAATCAGTCAAAGTGTTTTTTCTTTTTTAGTCAGTCAAAGTGCTTGTTGATTTGTTTGTGTGCATCTCAAAACTTATTTTTCTATAATTCGGTAGTTTGATCAAATTAGAGAATTTAAAAAATCAAATTTTAATCAATAAAAAGAAAAATAAACTTTTTTACTAATAAAGTCATAACTCCTTGAATGATGATTTTTTTTTTTTTTGTAAATGTCTGTTTTTTAATATATCAAAAGTTCAATGTTGGTCAATATAAAGATTT